ATAAGGGAAGTAATAACCAAACATGCTAAAAGCTCCAAAACCATCTTCAAAGAGATTTACATTCCTGTGACTATGATTATTAATATTATGAAGAAATTTAAGATCCATGGGACTGCAGGCAACCTTTCTGGACATGGCTGCAGGGGGAAAATTATCCCTAGAACAAATAGAAGGTTAATTGAAATAGTGGAGAAAGAAAGAAGAACTAATTAACTTTCAAGGTATAACAACATCCAATTGTATTACCTATCACTGTTGATCTATTTCTAGGTGAAAGACTTAAGATGACCCAATTTTTGAAAAACAGATACAAAAACTCCAGACTAGAGTTTGTTAATTTAAATGTTGACAAGCCACAGTCCTTCCCAGCCAGCTTCCAAAAGGCAAAGCCAGTGGAGGAGGCTGGATTTGTCAAATAACTGTGTGATTTATTTAATTGCAGTGATTCGCTTAACAACTATGGCAAAGATTCATTTAATAACACCTACCTTCCTTGGGAACAGAAATTCTGCTTCCAATTGTGGTTGTAAGTTGAGGACTACCTGTGCTTGACTGAAGAAAACTATCCAACCTAAAACAACTAGAGCAATTTGCTCAAGAAGAAAGAGACAAACTGCAAGTTGAGAAGCGTAGTCTTATTCAGAGTTTTAGGAAGTACTTGACTACAGTTATTGCTCAAAAAGGTGTTTCCATGTCACTTTCTGTTATTATTTAGAAGAAGAATATGTTAAATCATACATTATAAGCAAGGTGCTGCTCTTTGGACTATAGAATAAAGAATGGTAGGTGCCATTTATTTTTATCAATTTCAAGTTATTTCACAGAAAATTGGGATTCTTTGGAAAGGGGATACGAATAGTTTTGCTCACATTTGTGGCCTCCTGCAATGAAGGAAAAAGTGCCTGATGTTGTACCTTGTTCATCACCCTAATTGATGAAAGCCTGAAGTGGTTTTCATCGACCCTACCTGCACTGTTAACCAGGGAATATTGCTACACAAGTTAAATAGTATCACTGGAGATAATAAGCTTACCAGGGTCATTGGCAGCTTCTGCCAGAATCAGAACTTTCATGTGACTCTGAATGTTAAGAACAGTAACAGAGTTGGAAGGGACTTCGGAGGACACCTAGTCCAACCCCAGTAGATGGATGATGGGAAAGAATGGGCTGCTACAAGGAAATGTATTATCTCCAACATTGTATAACATACTTACAAATAATCAACCAGACCTTGATATCACTCATCTATTCATCTATACAAATAATACAGCAGGGGCTACACAAGAATCAACTTTTGATGAGGTAGGTGGGAAACTTACGGTAACACTTAAAGAATTAGATCATTATTATACCATAAATCATTTAAAGCCCGACCCAAACCAGACCCAAATATATTCTTTTCACCTCTGAAACTGAGGTGCAAGGGAGGAATTTGATGTTATGTTATAAGACTGGCCAACACTGAAGTATTTCTTAAGTAGTTCTAAGGCTAAAATCAGCTTGAGGAACAATATTATCAGAAAATTTATAAACTATACATGTGGGGAGTTCAACCATCTGCGTTGCACACATTAACTTTGGCGTTGAGCATCTCTGCCACAAAGTATGCTGCTCCAGTGTGGAGTATATCTACACTTGTGAAACAAGTTGATATCGCTGTCAGTGAAGCAATAAATTTAGTGACATGTTGTCTCAAACCTACTTTAGTGGAGAAAATATATCCTCTCTCTGGCATTGCCCCACCTAAGATCAAGAGAGAAGTAGCAGCGGATGCCAAGAGTACTAAGCAAGAGGATGATCCTTGACATTCTCTGAACAGACATATGCCCCAAGCCCGCCGACTCAGAACTAGGAACAGCTTTATGACAAGAAGAAATATTCTTGAAGGGTACATGAGAACAAAATCGAATTAAAAGATGGAGGAAAAATACTAGTGAGAAAGGAATAATATTAAAGGAGGATATGGCTGAAAGATCTTACCTCCCTGATATCACTTGGAGGACCCTGAATAGGTTGAGAGTTGGAGTACCTAAATGTAAAAACCAATATACTCAAATGGAGGCTCTTAGCAGATAACAACACGCTGTGTTAATGTGGAGACACAGAGTCTGACTTATCTGCTGGTATGTCGTCTACTACCAGAAACGTGTACCGATAATAACTTACTTTTGGACAAGCTAAGCAGGTGGCTTCATTCTGACAGTTTAAAGTTTGATCTAGACATGGAAAAAGAAGAACCCTAGTTAATGGTTTCATCAAACTTCACTTTAAATTTTCTCACTGCACAAAAATGCAGTAGAAATGCATCTGGTTCCTGGAGATTTATTCAATTTTAATTAAAGCATTGCTTCCTTTGTTTCATTTTCTGTAATACTGTAGCCTTGTTAAATGATTCCTTTTGCTGATGTGTACATTTCATAATCAGCATCTGAGTACTCTGTAATCGCTTTGAAACTTCATGTTGGTTTTTCATATATTTGAAAATTAAATTTAATAAAATTCTGTATCATCTCATCAATAATTTAAACAATTGCTACTATCCTATAGTGAAGTGATAGATCTTTTTCTCATTGGGTAAAACAACAGGTTTTTTTTATATTTCTTGAAAGTCACCTTTTTATAACTTACTTGCTTCTAAAAGTAAAGGTTCCCCTTGCACATACGTGCTAGTTGTTTCTGGCTCTAGCGGGCAGTGCTCATCTCGGTTACAAAGCCGAAGAGCCAGCGCTGTCCAAAGGCATATGGAACACTGTTACCTTCCTACCAAAATGGTCCCTATTTTTCTACTTACATTTTTACATGTTTTTGATCTGCTAGGTTGGCAGAAGCTGGGACAAGTAACAGGAGTTCACTCCGTTATGCAGTGCTAGGGATTCGAATTGCTGAACTGCCAACCTTTCTGATCAACAAGCTCAGCGTCTTAGCCACTTCTAGTGGTGTGTAAATCATTTTAATCTTGTGTATAATATCAAGCAGTGGTTTCTGTTTTGAATTGATTTTGATAGTTTTGAATCATTTTTCTGTCTATCCATCCATTTCCACAAAAATATAAGAGAAATATATCATAAAGTAAAAAATAAAAGGCCAGTAAAATAAAAGATAAAAGATGGTGACATTTTTAACTGACTAGAATGCTCTCTGAAGTTTTCTTTTATTTAATGCCAAAGAAATAAATAATCCTCTTAGAAATGCTTTACTGGATTCACATACTGTGAATAAAGAAACATCAACAGGAAGATGCTCTTTAATTCAGGTTGACACTTTAATTTGATAGCTTCTTGTAATAATAATAGGCCATTCAATTCTACTTTTTCAAGCCAGTGTTTCTTTGTGAAATATTACATTTGGAATTAAGTATTGCAACTTCTTTATATTTAAGTAATAGCAAATTAAATATCCAGTGTATATCTATTCTTGAATTAATGTTAAGAGAAGAGGCACAATATGGATATTTTTCTCTAAAGGGTATTTATGTCTTAAACATCTAAGGAAGAAAATAATGACATATAATCTATGATATTTTTGGCAATTTGCAGAACGCTTTTGGTGGGAACCAAACATTTGCACAAAGAATCCAGTTAATATTTCCACAAATAAAAAAATACCTTGCAATTTCAAGAAGAAATTGGAAAAAAACCCACAAGTTGTTCTCTAGTTATCTTTTAAAGCATAAATTGAAGTAATTGTAATTTTCCATTGTTCAACCGTAGTAATAAAAATATTTCTATTTCATCTGGAATTTTCTGTTTCATGATAAATTTAATACTCTTGTTTCTACCAGAAACAACATGATTTTGACCTAATGTTTACGTTCTAACACATTAATATATTTTAAACATTGTATTTCATAAATACCTATACTGTCTGGATTCTCATTTTTTTCTTTTCCTCTCCTCTTTTGAACGTGGTATTCAGTCTCTTAATCTTGTTGATTTTTTAAAAAATTTAATCCATGAAGTCAGTGATTAATTAAATGTAAGGGTAGAAAAATATCTGAACCAATTTCTTTCTGTTTCCATTTTTTCTTGTTTTCTTGTAGTTCATGACTCAAGCGTTTTCTTAGCATCTTCTATGGAGAGTATAAAAGCTTTGCCATTCATAAGACCCTCAAATGAAATGGAGTAATCCACCTGCATTTAATATTTCTTTCTTGGAGACAGGTTGTCATTATAAAGATTATTCTGTTTGCTTGAATTTATAACTTTTACTCTGAAATGTCTTACCATTCTACATAGAATAGAATAGAAAATTATCTACTACAATTTTTAATAAAGATTTCAAAGACCAAAACATTAAAACTTTCAAAGGCAGTATACTTCAGATATTTAGAGGAGGACGTGGTAGTGAGACAGAGTTAAATTTCAAGGTATGATTTTTCATTCTTTCCAAAAGATACAAAACAGACAACCATTTTAATGGCCGATTTTAAAATGCTGTTGTCAGGATACTTTTGTCTTTCCCACATGTTCTACTATGGTGCACTGGTTTTCTTAAGGTTAAAAAACATATGCTTTGGACACAGTTTTAATAATCTCTGAAATAAATCTATTGCAAGATCATTTTGAGGCTACAAATACTCCAGATGTTATTATGTGTACCTTTAAAAAAAAAGTCTTGGGGTGTGTCAGTGCCTTTATGCTATACTAGTGTGCTGAGATTGAATAGGAAAAATGGGGGAGGAGACACTGTACTCAGCTGCCATGCTGTTATCAGAGGGATTGTTTCTGGACAGAGGTTCAACATTCATTGGTTGTCTGAAGAAAGCCATTTCATCTGAGGATTGGATAAGAAGCTGCGTCAATTTGCTGCCCGTCTCCAAGGCACTGGTGATGCTGCCTTCACAAGCTGACTAACGTCACAGCTCCATCACCCAGCGGGGTGTGGGCTTGCTTGTCGCCCCCCCCTCCTGTTCTCTGTTTAATTCTGTATTTGCTTCCTGCTGCATTTCTTCATCTGTCTTCTGCCAAATGCTAACAGCATGATATTTTGCAATCATTTAGGTGAATACAAGAAGGACGAACTCTTGGAAGCTGCTAGGTAAGTGCTGTTCAGAATACAAATGTATTGTTTTTGAAGAGAGCTAGTAGAAATCAGGGTGAAAATGGATTTTATGATCTGTCATGTTGTCATTATCTTTTTATAAAATTGGGCAGATAAGCAGTCCTTGTTAACATGAGTCTTTTGTATTTAAGTACTTGCAAAAAACTAAACAGTTGCTTGTAATTCTACAGTATAGTTACAGTTGAATTTCGACAAGATGCATTTCAAATTCTATTACGTTTAAAAAGCAATTTTTAATGAGAAATGTGTTAGGACATTTTTTTATTCTCTACCTTATGAATTAAAGGCACATCCTTCATTTATATATGTTATAGAAAAGCTTAGAGAAAGGCTGAAAGCTATTTATAGTAGCTTGAGGAATATTGCAACAATTTGGGAAATGTATATTTATTATATTTAAAATACAGTAAATTATATATTATATATGTTTATATAGGCATATTTTAAAGGAAATAATTGAAGCAAATTTTTGCTAAGTCAAAATGCACAAAGTGAATTGTGAACAGATGTTAATGTGAAACTCCATTTCATATATTCTATAAGAGACTTCCTCTCCCTTCCATTTCTTCTTTGCAGGAGTGGCAATGAAGAAAAACTAATGGCTTTGTTAACACCTTTAAATGTGAATTGTCATGCAAGTGATGGGCGAAAAGTAAGTCTCTGTAAATATAATTGTTATAATTTTTTTGGCAGCTGGTCAGTATAACGTATCAGTTTAAAAATTTGATAACCAACCAGTTTGTGAATTGTAATTTGGGTCTCATCACATAAGATTGAATGATGTGTACAGTTTGACAGAGATAGTGGAACATAAAGTAGTTGACTGACTGCATTTTAAATGACAGTCTAGCATTGTGCTGCAGAATGCTTGTTAATAAATATCAATTGTGAGTTTGGGTTTTCTTAATAACTGTAAATGAACATTTTTCTCTGTGTGAGTGTTCAGGCTGTGAAAAACAGGGTTTCAGTACTCTAGGTTGTTGTAGCCAATTTCAGATCAATTTCATTAATCTTGTTGGATATTCATTCCAAATTTTTATAGTCTCACTTAATTGTCTAACTGCAGCTTTACATAATGGGGAATTAAATATATTAATCAGTACGAAGTAAGAAAAGGAAGAACTTATACATTCAGAATTCTAATTAAATGTTTCATTAATTTTTGTATTATTATAATCTGAGGTAATAGATTCTAATCTCAGTTTACCTGAGTTCACACAGCATGGTTGTTTTGTCTGTTGGTGCTTCTTAGGTCTCATCAATTCTTAATAACTGTCTGAAATGGGTAATCAGGTACCTCAGCTTCCGTGACTGAAATCTCCCCAGGTAATTTGGAGAGAGGACATGAGAGATATAATTTGGGACAGATTGTGGCTCATACTCTGCCAGCAGACTGTTTGGGGTTTATTCAGTGCAGTGAAGATTTAAAAGAATATTTTGGATGCAATTCGCAGCCTAAACACATTTTTCTATAATTCAATATGTATAGCTCTTACCTTATACTCATCTATGTTAAGTATGATTGGTTTAATTGTAATTGACACTTAGCCAGTTTTAAACTTTGTATTTCTTCTTCCTGTAAAATAACTGACTGGCTGTCTTAATTTTATTTTTGCATTAGATCAACCATCGGTTAATTAATTCTCAAATCGTGAGTTTTGAAACTGTGTGGTTCAACTCCTGGGCATTTCAGTTTTGTCACCAGGCAAAGCTGGGCTCTGTTACACCATATTTTTGCTTTGCCTTGACAAACCGATTGTCCACTTTGTTATCTGGCCCATCATTTTTTTGTTGTTGTCACAGTGATTGCCCCTGTAAAAGGTGGTCCCCGCACTTCTTAGTTTCTCAAGCCTGCCACTGCCCATTTTGCTCACCTACTCTGTCTACCACCCCCATTTTTTATTCTTCCTCCAGCAGAGTAGCAGCTAAGGGCCCAGAGTTTTGACAGCAGTCAGAGCAGCAGAAATAGAAAGGAGGTGAGCAAGAGTTCAGCTTTTTCATACTTGATTATGCAGTGTCAATTGCTTACAAGACCAGTTGCTATTGTAGATTGCTGATATCTGGAGGCCCTGGACTTTTGCTTATATTAATAATGGCTAAATGAGATCCAGAGCAGCACTTAATCAAGGACAGTATTAATCGTTCAGTAATCTATAACTAATACAGTTGAATGTTCTGAAATGCACAGTATTTAAATGAGGAAAGCTTTTAGGTGTTAGACTGTTTAAAAAGTGAAGCTGTAGCAGAATATAAATAGGTCTAAAATTTCTGCCAGAGAACAGAAATAGGTTAAAAATTAATTAATGGACTTAATAGAGTAATTAAATGATTCAATTAATGGGTTAAACAGTTATTGTTAAGAACTTTTAACAATGTATAAGTACATCACTGCATCAGTAAGGTGAGTTGCCATGTCCCATAATGGCAGTTCTAATGTTTGATATGTTAGCTAATGATTAGCGAGTTGACTTTTTAAAATTATTATTATGAGGGCAACAATTGGATTTTATTTCTTAGATTATTAAAATTAAAGCTGAATTGGGTCTTTCTGTTGCTTAAAACCATGTTGTCCATGCAGGCTTCAGATTTGCTCATTTGATTCCATCTGCATAATATTTGACCTATGTTTTGTCAAGGAGAACTCTTTTGCTATATACATGAGCATTCATTTGTAATTAAATGTTTGTAATTAAATACATTTGTAATGGACGCTCATGCATAGTATACTCATTTTATTATAAGAGTGATGTTGCATTTATTGGAGAAATATACATTTAAGGGAATTGGTCTAAACATATTTGCTGCAGTGATGTCCAGAGTACATGAAAATGTTGTATGGTTTGTAGTTTGTTGGCCGAAGGAAACAGAATGCAATCCACCATTTTTAGTAGAAGACCACCTGTTTGTAAGTGTGGGTTGTCCATAAGTTCCATAAGTTGGACTTTCTTAACCTGAGAACTACCTGTAATCACTGGGGTTCAACACAGAATATCTCTCAGATCTTCTAATAGACATGCAAAAGGCAAAGGTTTTTCTTACTTTCAGATTAAAGATACCTTTTAAAAGACTATACCGGAAATGTGGCTGCTAATAATAAAATAATAAGTGTAGATAATGATTCAGATAACAGATAATCAGAGTTGGAAGGGACCTTGTAGGTCATCTAGTCCAACCCCCCGCCCAAGCGGGAGACCCTACACATTTCTGACAAATGGCAGTCCAATCTCTTCTTGAAAGTCTCAACTGATGGCGCTCCCACAACTTCCGAGGGCAAGCTGTTCCATTGGTTGATTGTTCTCACTGTCAGAAAGTTTCTCCTTATTTCCAGGTTGAATCTCTCCTTGTTCAGTTTCCAGCCATTATTCCTTGTCTGGCCTTCAGGCACTTTAGAAAATAGCTTGACCCCTTCCTCCCTGTGGCAGCCCCTCAAATATTGGAAGACCACTATCATGTCTCCCCTGGTCCTTCTCTTTACTAGACTAGCCAAGCCCCATTCCTGCAACCGTTCATTGTATGTTTTAGCCCCCAGTTCCCTAATCATCCTGGTTGCTCTTCTCTGTACTTTTTCTAGAGTCTCGACATCTTTTTTTATAATGTGGTGACCAAAACTGGATGCAGTACTCTAGGTGTGGTCTTACTAAGGCTTATAGAGTGGTATTAGTACTTCCCTTGATCTTGATCTGTTAATACAATTTAGGATTGCATTAGGTTTTTTGGCGGCTGCTGCACACTGCTGGCTCATATTTAGCTGGTTGTCCACTAAGACTCCAAGATCCCTCTCATAGTTACTGCCATTGAGCCTGGTTTCACGCAGTCTATATGTGTACTTTTGGTTTTTCTTACCTAAGTGTAGGACTCTACTTTTCTGTACATTGAATTTTATTTTGTTAAATATGGCCCAATGTTCTAGTCTGTCAAGATCCATCTGGATCTTGAGCCTATCTTCTTGGGTGTTAGCTATTCCTGCCAGCTTAGTATCATCTGCAAATTTGGTAAGTTCCCCTTCTATTCCCTCATCTAAGTCATTAATGAAGATATTGAAGAGTACTGGGCCTAAGAAGAAACCTTGTGGCACCCCACTGCTTACTTCCCTCCATGTAGACTTTGACCCATTAAGGACTACTCGTTGAGTACGGTTTGCCAGCCTGTTGCGAGTCCCTCTAGTGATGGTGCTATCTATTCCACTTTTTTCTAGCTTACTAAGAAGTAAGTTGTGCTCTACTTTGTCGAATGCCTTGCTGAAATCTAAATATATTATGCCCACAGTATTTTGCTGGTCTACTAATTTAGTCACTGTGTTGAAGAGTGAAATTAGATTGGTTTGGCATGATATGTTTTTAACAAACCCATGCTGGCTGCTAGTTATTACTTTACTTATTTCTAGATGTTGGCAGATCTGTTTTTTTATTATCTTTCAGTTAACAAAACATGTGATACCCAAGGTGTTAATTTTGGGGCACCACAATAAAGAAAAAATAAAATAAACTTTCAAATTGTTACCAAACCAAATAGATTAAAATACTGCATTGAAATAAATTTCCCACCCAGTAAAGGGCCTTCCTTCCTCGCCTCTCTCCCTAAGTCCCTACATTTTTGTGGAAAGATTTCAGAAGTCATCTGCCATTGCCTGCTTCCTAAGGCTGAGAGATGAGAACTGTCCCAAGGTCACCCTTTGTGCCTAAAACAAAACTTGAACTCAGAGTCTCTTAATTTCCAGCTTGGTATTTTAAACACTACACCAGATTGGCTCTCCAACCAAGTAAAGCAATTACTTCTTTTTAAAAAAAGCAAACTATGGAGAGCCTAGCTATCTCAAGAAATCTTTTTGGTTGACATAAAGCCAAATTGTTTGATCCACAATGGAACTACAGCTAATATTTTAAAAACAATTTCACTCCATTCAAGTTTTTAAATTATTTTTAGTTCTTACCCAAGAATGTCTTTTCTTCACTGATAAACCAATTAATCATTCCAAATTTTATTTTCATTTTTCATCTATATTATAAAAGATGATAACTTGAGAGTTGCCACCTTTTGCTAATTTACTTGTTATTTATTTCAAATAAAATCCTACAAGACAAATCATCAGGATATGTTACACATATGAGAGATTTTTCTTAGACTTTTGGATTGATTTTCGTACCTTATCACTTAAATGACAATCATATATAAATGTTTTCTCTCCCTCTCCCCTACAGAATAAATCTGTATTTATAGAAGTCTGGTATAGCAGGTGGCAACAAGCCTAGAGGCCTTCTTGATACCTAGAATTTTGTGCCAGAAGCATTGATTATATGAGTTATATTGGTGTGTTAAATTATTCATAGTCTTATATGTAGTTTCAAGTGATATAATTAAACATGGGTTTGTTATTTGAATCTTTCTTAGCCACTAAACTAGATTCCCCCTCCTACTATTCCCAAGATGTCTTCCAATCCTTAAAGTGTTTATGATGCAAGATGGAGTTTACAGAAAGTAAACTGCAATATCTCTGCATTATTTTGTCTATTTGCTTTATATTTATATTTATAAAGGATTTCTCTCATACTAATGCACAGTGCTAGAAATTAGAAAACAAAAGGAGCTTGAAGCACAAATGAATGTACTTTTCATGCTGAATATACTTAATAATAATGTAAACCCCTTCGTATA